GGCACCACCATTTGTTCGGCTTCTGGTGAGGTCCTTAGGTCACATCATAACATGCTGGAAGGCATCACTTGGTGAGGGAGCAAGCCAGAAAGAGCTTAGTTTTATAACAAACTCCACTTCCACAACAACCCCTAACTCACAAATAAATTCATCCACTAGAGTCCACATGACTTGATCAGCTCCCCAAATTCCAGCTTCCAAATACCATTAACGTGTAACTTTGGGATTACATTTCTAACTCACAAAATTGGGGGGGGACACATTCAAAGCATAGTAAATTGATAGGTAGACAGAGGGTGGATTTCTTACATGGAATTAGCTTACACAATTAGGGTCTTGCTTAGGGCAGGCAGTCAGTAAAGTGAAAGCCCTAAGTGGGCTGGAACCCATGGCAAGGATGGAAGCTTGATGGAATCCACAGGTTGCAGGCTGGAAGAAGGATCCAGGGGCACAGGACTGCAATTGTGGACCCAGCAGCTACTGGGAGTGTTTCTGTCAGGGAAGTCCTAAACCTGCTTTTAAAGAGCTTAAGTCAGGCTCACCCAGGATTATCTCCTGTTAATTAACTTGAAGTCAGCTGATTGGGGAGCTTACATCACATCTGCAGAATTCCTTCACCACAGCACCTGAAAGGGAATTTGACTCAGAGGTCTTTAGGGTGTGTGTGTGTATACCTCAAAATGGCTGCTGACCACCTCAATTGAGAGAAAATGTTTCCTGTAGTGATTCCTAAATGAAAACAACTTAGAAAGGGAATTCTGGGGGCCTAGGCAAGTTGACACATCCCAAAGCGGGATGTGTCCCCTGTCCCTGTTCTTTTTTTTTTTTTTTCCCTCCCCATAAGCTAAATTGAGTTGGGTTTCTATCACTTGGGGTAAAAAAAAAAGGTGCTGATTCAATTGCCATTGATTTATTGAGTGCTTCACACATGTTATCTCACTTCGTTCCCTCACATACCCAAATGAGGCAGGTATTATTTACTGTTTTAGGGACTAAGATTCAGAGATGTTATGAAACTTGTCCAAAGACACAGAGCTTCAAAGTCTGTCTTTCCACTGCCCATGCCGCAGTACCAGTCCTTGCCCAAGGAAGCCATCCCAGTTGGAATGCAAATTCCTTATGCAGTTGGAAGCTGACTTAAGCAATTTTTTTTTTCCAGGTAAAAAGAGAAGTCCAAAGCTGATGTACTTTACTTTTTATTCAAGCCGATGACAGAACAAGGCCAAAAAATAGATTTTTATCTTCCAGACCCAATGCTTGGCCTAGATGAATTATTTGGCTGATGGAAGCAATCGTTTGATCTGTTTCCCTTGTTGTGTTTGTGTCTAATTTTTTTGAAGATTATGATTTAAGGTTTTTAACTTTTATTTGGAGGTCTATTCTTACATGAAATAAACTCTCCTACAAATGTCAGCCATCGTCACGATGTCAAACAGATGCTTGAGACACCTCTTGCAAGACTTTGAGTGCTTCACACATATTCAAGAGAAAAAGAAAAGTACAGAGGAACAACATCAGGTATGAGAGAGGGGGCTGCACTGCAGATTTGACAGATATTAGAAAGATCCCAAGAGGTCTTAGGATGAACTGAATGTCACAAACCCAACAACTTTGATGAAAAGGATGAATTCCTTGGAAATGGACACGGTGGGGGAGACCCCAGAGAGCTGAACCCCCTACCTGCCAAATCCAATGGGTATTTGAGATTATGTGACCTTTTTGTGGCATTTGCCACTGCTGATGGCATCCTCCTTGAAATCTTCCTATTTTGGCTTCTGGGAAACATGTTTCTCTATTTAAACTGCTTCCTTCCTCTTCCTTCTTTTTGCTTAATTGCAGAACCCTCTAGTGACTTTCCTTGCCCTTACTCCACATTTACATACAGGGCTTTAACTATCATTAGCATATGTCGATGCCTCCTAACTCTGTGACCCAAATTGCTTGGCTGAGCCTCCGTTTGATCCAATAGCCAGCAGCCATCTGGACAATTATCTATGCTAGCCATTTAATCAATGAGGTCCTGCCCACCCCCACTTTGTATGTCTTCAGACCCCTCAAACTCAACATTTTCTCTTTGTCTGCTAATAATAACCAGTTATGATTTGGGGCGTCTTCTCCCCTTCTGCATCCTTGAAGGTTGGGAACAGTTCTCCCATCCAGACTCCACATGGGCACCCCACAACCTATCCTTCTCACTCTAGGCCAAGTGCTCTTCCCAACCAATACATCTTATCATGCTGGTTTCAAAGCCTGGAGTCCTCTTTCTTTAACACACCTTCATTGAGAGGTGGGCTTATCTTTAAGCAGTCTTGTGACTTCTTTGATCAGAGCCCTGYGCCAGTGATAAGATGTGTGACTTCCAAGGTGAGGGCAGCAAAGTCCATGCAGGTTCTACGGGCCCTGCAATGCTCATTCTCTGGAGACCTCCTCTCAAGAAGTTCTCTGTCAGAACCCAGCCGCCGTATTGGAAAAAGCCAAGTCATATGCTTTGCAGCTGAGCCAGTTTTCAAGCTCTCCCAGTCCARCTACCAGACCTGAAAATTCTTTTAGAAGTGAATTCTGTGACCCCAGCTGTTCAGGCCACCAGCCATTTGAGTGTTCCCAGCTGAGGCTCTGGATACCACAAAGCAAGGAAGAAATGTCTCAGCTGTGGGTTGGCCAATCTCCTGACCACAGACTGTGATCATAAATAAAATGGTTGTGTTAAGCTGCTAAATTTGAGGCTAATTTGTTACATAGCAATAGTAACTGGAACATTCATGTCACTCCCTTGCTTAAAATGTTTCAGTGATTCCCCATCTCCATCAGGATGAAGTCCAAGTTCCTTTAACTCCTGCCCACCTCATCAGATACAGCTCCTGTTCCTGCCCATCCCAGCCCTAGTCCCAGCCATACTACAATTCCTGGAATATTCGCTACTTTCCTAGGCTTTCAGACCTCCTATGAGCTGTTACTCTGGCTGGATATCAGGAAGATGACCAGATATTCATAAGATCGACTGGGTATTGTGGGATGCAAATTAATTTCTTTCTCTGAAATCCTTTTTTTTTTTTTTCCAGGAATAAAAATCAAGTGGCTCTAAAACAGTCCAGGTATCCTGCAAAAGAATATCTAGATCTTTGAATAAAATAATGGTTATGCAAATGGATTCCAAAGCCAGATTGCCCGCATTCAAACCCCAGCTCTGTCACTTCAAGTGGATGACTCTGTGCAGGCTACTTAATTTCTCCGAGCTTTAATTACCCGATCTGTAAAATAATAAATAAATAATACTTCATAAAGTTGAGGTAAGAATTAAATGAGTTAAAGGGTGTAAGATGTTTAGAATGGTGCCTGGCAGAGAATGCTTGGCTAAATAAGTGCTTGTTTAAAATAAAAGAAATCTGTTTACTCTTGTTCAAGGCCTGCTGAGTGTCACTTTTTTGGAGAGACCTCCTCTGATGTCTCCCGATACTGGCTGGTTTCACAGACAGGTCCATGTTGTCGCAGCACTTTCAGCATGTCACAGCTTGGCATTTGTCACTGCCTCTGTAATTCTAACACTGTGGTTGTCAGTGTCCCTCAGTTCATCTAAATGATTCTTGAAGGCAGAGGCTGAATTTTATTCATTTTTTTTTATTTCCCTAGAACCTGAGTCATAGTAGGCTTTCCATAAATGTGTATTAAATAGAATCTTGCTTTAGTTTTACAAACGCAGTAACTCAAGCCCAGGAAAGGCTAAATGAGTTCTTCTAAGCTATACAGGTAATTAGTGGCTAAACAGAAACGAAAACATTTTTTACTGCCAGGCCTAAACTAGTTATGTGTGTGTTAATATCACCACTAACCCCTGGCCATTTTGCTTTTAAAATGATTTATCAGATACTTATAAAATAATCCAAGTGCTTTTAGCATCTTCTGAGTCCCTGGACCGATTTAGCATAAATCACTATTATTCTTGGGGAAAAAAAAAAAAAGAGGATTACAGGGAAGGAAGTAGATTTGTCTCCTTCCAATTATTTAGACGATTTGCTGAATATCTGGATAATTCTGAAGCCTTGAATCTTCCTCATGTAAGAGGTTACTTTCATCCATTTACTCTTTCCAGATGCAGAAGTGAAAGAGGTATTACTGAGAAAATTAAATTCCATAGGGGGTCTCCTGCTGCCGTCTGGGACACCGCCAAATCTTGCTTAACTCAACTGCCCAATTGTCAACACCAGACGGCGCTGTGTCCTCACTCCGTCGAGTACACAAAAGACTGTGGTGACCCCCCTCCCACCTCGCCCACCCCCGCCAGCACAGTCCAGGGGATGCTTCCCAACACCCGCACCTCTCCTCTGCAGCAGGCGCATTTCTTTTCGCTTTTCGAGTCAGTGCGTGGACGAGAGTGTGTGGTGGTGGCGGTGGAGATGGTGGTGGCAGTGGTGGGTGTGGGTGTGTAGATCAGTGTCTCCTGATCTACACACCTGGCTCTGTGTTTGAAAAGCTGTATCTTCTGCTGGCAGCTCTATCATGGAACCCTGGATTGCTTTTCCTTCGTGACTTGAAATACATTTAAGTCAGAACGAATCGGAGGGTTATTAGGTACCAGGAGCTTGGTATCCCGTGCTCCCTTCGCCCTAGCGTTAAATGCATCCCCCAGAGGACGGGACTCAACCTTGACGCTTTGCCAACGGTGTCAGCTTAGCATGCACGCCTAGTTCGTGCTGTTCCTTGGGCGAGATTTGGGGTTCACCTGTCCGGGGAGGGCGAGGTGTGTTCATCCCACGTGGACAGCCAGCTGTCTTTGCGTTCCTCTTCTACTTTCTTCTCTTCGCCCTGATTTTTCATTCCTTTTGAGTGATGTGTTTGGTGGGGGGAGAGGGGTTAAAAGGGGGGCGGGGTTGGGACCCAGCAGGGAGGGGCGTCGGAGCGCTGTCACAGAGTGTCATGCTGCCCTCCCCGCCCTCCGCCGGGGGTGTGGAGCGCGGCAGAGCGAGCTGCAGAGGGCCAGGCGTGTGGGGACGCGGGAGGGCGGAATTCTCCGGGAGTCGCGCGGCACACGGAGCCCGAAGCCGGCGGTCGCCTGTTCCTGTGCGCTGGGCGGCATCCCGGGCATYGGTAGCCCGGCTCCCGGAAAGCGTGCCTGGCCATGGAGTCCTCGCATAAAGACGCCGAGACGGCAGCAGCGGCKGCGGCRGTGGCAGCGGCAGACCCCCGGGGGGCGTCCTCGTCGAGCGGGGTGGTGGTTCAGGTCCGCGAGAAGAAGGGCCCTCTGCGCGCCGCCATCCCCTACATGCCCTTCCCGGTGGCCGTCATCTGCCTGTTCCTCAACACTTTCGTGCCAGGACTGGGTAAGACTTGGTAGCTGTGACCCCTGAGACCCGGGGCCAGCCTCAGGAGGGCGGGTGGGAAAGGGGCTGGGCGCAGCTGGAGACACTCCGGCGGCGCCCACCGACTGCAACTGCTGCGCTGGCGCTCGCCAGTCGGTGCTCCCAGTGTCCGCTAGCAGGTGGCAAAAGAGTGTGGAATGGGCACTCCGCAGGAGAGGGGGCACTCCGCAGGAGAGGTGTCATTCCCAGGTCTCCAATCCACAGGCGAGGTGACTGGGCTTGGAAGAGCTAGAAACTTTGTGAGGAACGTTGGAGATCGCGGGCGGTGGCCCCGACGGCACCCAGGGCTCCRGGCTAGGCTCCTGTCCAGGCGTCGGGAATTCTGCCCCTCCTTTCCGTTGTGCGCACCCATTTAGCAATCCGTCTGGCTGCCTGGCAGGGCCCTGGTGTCATCGATATTCTAAATATTATGCAAGCCCATTCCTTCCTGGAGAGTGATGCCAGAGCAGGAGGGCCTCTGGAGCTTACTTGGTGGCTTTTGAGGAGTTGGTGGATCTAGGGGAAGTGGAGGCAAGCAGTGTATAGGGGTCACTCTGCAACCCCCTCTGCGTTCGCGGAGAGAGAGCTCTTTAACCAGTCTCTTCCACCTCCATCCCGAGTGCCAGCACCCCCGCAGGGCGCCAAGAGGATGGTGGGCGATTTTATTAGTTTGGATGCCTGTGGGTTTGGACTGTATCTGGCTGGCCAAAGGTGATCCACAGCAAGCGGAGAGCGTGCCCATGTAAGTTTGTGTTGGATTCAGGCTGCCTGGAGGGGCTCTGGTGACATTGATATTCTAAATATTAAAAACAGAGGTCCATCACAGAGGTAGTGATACAGGATGAGTAGAGGTAGAGAATGAGCCTTTTCCCTGACACTCCTTCCCTTAACCCCAAATCTCTGCCTATACCTCCTCCCCCACCTCCAACTTGACCACTAGCCACTGATCTTGTGTGCAGAGATGTGACCCCTCTCACTGGTGCTGGGGGTGGCGGGGAGAGGCTGACACCTATTGCTTTCACCTCGGGAGAAAGCCTGCCCCTTTCCGGCTAGCCAGTTGCCAGCACAAGGGTGCGAGTTCCCAAGAGCAGAGGTCAGCTCCAAGTGGTTTTGTGTTTTACTTTGGCCTTTCTCACGGCCTTGCCCTTAGYCAGCTTGAAGGGACCTCATGGCAGTGGTCACCAAGGACATGCCCACCCACAGAGGACCTGTTCATTTTCCCCTTGTCACATATTTGTATATGTGCCCCAGGGGTCTGTGTTGCCTGAGCAGAAAATTGAGTAGTCTTTAGTTGGGCTTCCCTCTTCAGACATGCCTTCAGCAACCTGACTGCGTCCCCTTGACCCGATTCGGTGTCATCAGACCAGCCCTTCTTGTACTTTAGAGACTGTCAGGAGGCAAGCTGATGCTAATTTAGTTGTGTCAAAAATTTCTACCTGCTAGAGTAAAAAGAGACCTCCTGTCATCTCTCTGGAGAATGTAAAGATCATAAGCATCTGGTTTCTACTTTTTTTTTTTTTAAAGTGGTGAAGTAAATGCCACCCTATAGGCTTTTGAGGAAACAAATGCATTGGTGCCAGATGGGAGTGGTTGCAAAAGTTCCTGTTGCCCAGGGAACCACCCCTGTGGGAGACCTGCCACAGGAGATAGCAGCTGCCCATCCATGCACCTTGCATGCCCAGCTGGGTTTCACTGGCTAGGTACCTTTTCTACCCTTAGTCTAGCTTCAATGACAKGATCCATTCAACTCAACTCTGACACGTACTCCCAGCATCCAGCTTCAGTTCCTTCACAGTTGGCTTTGTTAGATCAGAATCCCATGGGATTTTAATTAAACATACACATGTGGTGCGTGTACACACACAACTTTCTCAGAAGCCAGGAGAAAATAAAGGGGAAAAATAAGCAAACTGCAAAAGTAATGAAACAGGTGAGACATGGGTGTAAAGACTTTTGAATTTCCAGTGACTTAACCCAGGCATTCTTCCCGTCCCCATTTTGCTACAGTATAGTTTCTTGGGTGCACAGGTCCTGTCTCCTGTCCACAAAGAATGTGAGCTCCCTGACCCTTGGTAGTGTTTCTTATCTGTAAGTCAGGGACACCTGTCTCTCCAGATTGTTGGGAGGATGAAATGTGATTACCTAAAGCCCAGGGTCAGGTACATAGGAACATGACCAGAGATGGTGGGTCTATCCTGCTATTTTTGCTCTTCTGCAGAGCTGAGCCCTGTTCCCATCTGCAGGTGGGGGTTGCTGTAGCAGTGGCTGCATTGCTTCTAATCACTTCTGTTCTTTCTGCTCAACTCTCCACCTGTAGTGGGGAGACCTCAACAGATCATGCAAATCTTGCAGGTAGTTGGTGTTTTGTTTTGTTTTGCCTCCCTCTCCTGCCCCCCTCACCCCAACTACCTCTGCCTAGGAATGGTTTGAATTGGCCCCAGCTCTTGGTATTCCTCTCCTTAGCCCAGATCTTCTCCAAATCCTCTTGCCTTATTGGAATATCCAGTGACAACTGAACATCCATGCTGTTTCTGCTCTTTGATGAAATGCTGCTCCTTTCAATGTGTTCACTCATTCATTGGGTCAACACAGACATCCACCAAATGCCAGGCAATGGGGTATATGAGAATCAATGAATCAGTCAAGATGTCCTGGACTGTTAAGGAACATTGATAAAACTTTGCTGAGTGCTATGGGGGCAGGGAACAGAGTATTTTAGCAGCAATTAATTGTTCCTGAGGGTTGGAGAGAGCACCTTCCAGAAGTAGTGGTGGGTTAGAACCTTCTGAGGAAATCTACCTATCTGCCATCCTCACTACAGTCCCACTCCCTGGGAACTATGTAGACCACTGACCCAAAGATTCCTTCATTTTTCTAGAAACTTCCTTCCTTAAAAGTCCTCTCCTTGTTTGCCAACTGGATGAGAGAATAGGCTTTTTTTTTTTTTTTCTCTGATGTAGGTATCTCAGGTCTACCTAGTCTTCAGGACCTTGGAGAAGCCCCATCCTTAAAATTCCCCAGATTCTTCTCTATCCAAGCAACAGTGCTTATCATGTTCATACCATAAGAGATGTTTCCTCTCCTGAGAAGTGCATGGGAAGGAGAGGTAATTTATGATCATCTGACTCCTCATTAGAACATGACAAACAATTTCTTAAAATGGACTATTGTGAGAGAGTGATCCCCAGCCCTGCTTATTGAAATTCTGCTGATTAAGATCATTGCCAGTATCTTCATGTCCAATAGAAGGTGTAGATGTATATATGCCATTTTTCATGCATGTAATGAAAATTAATTGCTATGCCCCMAAATGGTCATAGAATTTGTCAGTGAAGGATTATAACTGTGCTTCCATATTTAAAAATTATATCTATTGTGATTTGGAAAGACAAAAATGTTGATGACTCAGATAGGGACAGGGAAAGTGGGAAGGAAGACCGACCATTAACCACTCCATCACACTGATGCTGGCCATTAATCTACTGTTCAATATTACACAAACATTTAATCTATCCCTAATACACTGCTTACTCGTTGACACCATTAAAGTCTTGTTTCTCTAGTAAGAGCACCATAGGCTGGCTCAGCTTCTATGTCTCTTTCCTTTAGGCCTGAGACTCAAACAGATGATTAATCATGCCTACCTTGTGGCATCTTTTGTATTGATGACCTTGTGTTACTGTTCTGAGAGTTCATTCTTTGCCTAGCTACATAGATTGTAAATTCCTCGAGAGCAGCAACTATTTTAAATTTCTCCTTGAAACAGTTTGCTATAAATGAATACACGTTGACAGAATTATACTCCTGGAGCAGGCGTTAGAGATCATCTGGTCCAATGCCTTTCTTTTATCTATAAGTGAAGTAGGCCTGAGGATGCATGGACCAAGCAGGTTTGCCTCCTCTCAACCCTACTTCTGGCAGCCATAAAGAGCCACCCCAAGATGAAATTAACCTAAAGGGCAGTGAGTTTTTATTACAGTGGAAGGATGGTAGGCTCCAGGAAAGAGGTTCTCTGAGGATGACATGAGATGGTAATAGTCCATATAATAGAGACTATTATTGGGACACTGCGAGAAATCAAGATTTCAATAAGAAACAGAAAGAAAGCAAAACCCATAAGGCAATAAAGATAAAAAGCTATGCAAAATCATTAAGATCCCAAGGTGAAGCAAACTGCCCAAAGAGATCAGAAGGTTATAGGTTTCAAAAAATAATAGGAAGGTGCCAAACAATAATTAAAGTGAGGAAGGATTAGGAAAATATTAGGGCTATGATACACAAGGCATATGTTTCTTCTGACAAAGGGAAAAAGGAAAGGTAGTCATAAACTTCAGGAAAACAGAAAAAACATTTTTATGAAAGGCATAACTCAAACATGAAGCAGTCCAAAATGTGGCCTGATTTGCAGTAAGTGGTAGAATTTAAGATAGATTCTTAAATGCACAGGTCTATGTCATTGGAACAGTGGTACAGGATATGGGCTCTTTTACTCTGCAGTCAAGAACATTTGCTTAGTCATAATGATATAAATGCTGCTCAGTGCTTTTCAATTTCTAAAGCCAACAGCAAACCACTGAAGACTCCTTAAGAATAGCTACAAAGGAGCATATAAAGATTTCCCACCTTGACAATGTAAAATGAAAAACACAGCTTGCAGAAGTTGGAGAATGAAAGAGGAGAGAAGTAGAATTGTGAGAGAGTAAAATTATTGTTCCCAATCATTCACTGTTCTCCCTGAAAGGGGATGATTGCGCATTCCCACCTGATGCCATATGGCTTGGCTGCCTCTTGTAGGGAGAGAATACTTCCTTCCTTGCTCATTGATAGCAGACTTCCCATGTGACTTGCTTTGGCCTATGAAGTAGGAATAGAAGTGGCATAGGACACACTGAACTGACACTGTAAGAAGCATTGTTAGATTCTGCCATTGTTCTTTCTCCTTTTGCAAGAATAATGGCAGGTCTCATAGGGGTACTATGTTT